CCTCTAGCATAGACCTGGGCCTCCCGCCCGAGGGCTTGGCCCCCTTGTCTAGAACTGCTGCCCTGAGCCAGCTGGGAGCAGGGAGGGGACCCCCCAGGCCTGAGCTCCTCCTGCTTAAGAAGACAGACCCACAGGGGCGTCCTGCCCCACCCCTGAGCATTCACAGGCGAGCATTCAGGGTGGGGGGTGGACAGGGTTGCCGGCCCTGCCCGGGCCCACCTCTCTCAGCCTTCCTCCCGCTTTGGCTGGTAGGGTAGGTCTTGTCCACCTCTGAGCTCTCAGACACCCTTGTGGGGTGGGAGTGTGGTACCAGGGATGAGTGCTGTGCTCCCCGTAGAGACCCCCCCAGCTGGGCTCCTAACCAAGCCGACGGGGAGGAAACCTTTGTCAGATCCGCCGTGAAACCGCAGCTCCCAAAGCCACTGCGTCTAACCTGGGGAGCAGCAAGGTCTTTTACGGCACCTCAGGCTTTGTACGGAGTGGAAAAAACATGGTGCTCCCGCGGCCCCGGAAGTCTCACCCTATGTCGGAAGCTGTCCCAGCCTAATCTGCACGTTTTGTTTTTAATGACTTCCTGGTACACCTGGCTGTTGTTCAAAACAGGGAAATTCAGAAAAGTGTGAAGAGGAAAATCAGAGTCACCATAATCCTACCAGTAAATATGAATACAATACACGTGTAGGAGGAGAATGAATAGAAACGTGGCGAGCGTGCTGTTGTTTCCTGTATTCTTTTCTGTGTGTAAATTTACATAGATTGTGAACGAATTTGGGATGGTGCTGCATCAGTATTTCTGTTGCTTTCTTCATTAAATTGTGAGAATTTTCCAATGACATCATTGGAAAATTGACAGAAGTCAGGGGGTCCTCCTGCTGGAGTCCTCCAAGCCCTCCGCCCACACAGAGGAGAGCCGGGCCCTGGCCCCGCTGACCCCCAGCCCCCGTTCCCAACCACGTGTCTCTCCAGTCCCTCTGCCTGCTATTCCTCCTTGGACACCCAGGGCTCCCGCCTCCTGTCCCCTCCCCAGGTGTCAGCAGGCCCCTCCTTCCTCAGTAAGGACTTCCGTGGCCTCCTGAAGGCAAAAGGGCCCTGTGGGACTGGTCACCTTGGTCAGAAGTGCCCTGCAAGCGCCCAGGCAGCCCCCAGCCACGCACCCCTGGGGACCTCACCCCCCTCGGTTCCCTAGAGTGTGCACAGGCAGTGGTGCCCTGTGCCCCCCTCTTTTGCTGGAAAACAGCCTTTGTCTCCTTTAAGTTCACCTTCAGGGAGAATTACCACAGGTCCTTCAGGAACCTTGGAACGTCCAGTCCGGGGCCCTCGGCTTTCAGACGCACCCTGCGGAGGGGCTCAGGGCGAAGAGGGCGGCCGCGTTCCCGCAGGCGGGGTGAGCCCAGGAGGAGGGGGTGCCTCGGAGCAGGGCCGCGTTGGCAGGACAGCTGGGACGCGGGCTGGTGGACGGCGGTGCCCCCCTCATGGGGAGCACCTGGCGGCTGGCAGAGGTGGGCTTTGTCCAGCCCGGGGTGATGGGGGCTGAAGTGAATGCCATTTGCCCCTCCCCGCTTACGTTTTTAGACATCATCTCTCCCCAAATCCTTGCCTCTAATGAGCCTTTTCTCACAAGACGAGGCAGTTGTGTGCAGCTCCGGTGTTGGCCTGCGTTGACCTTGGTGGATGGATGTTTCTCGTTTAACCTCAGGTACCGGAGGGCGGCCTCAGTTCGCCTGTGCACTTTGGCAGCAGAACTGCAGGCTCGTTCGTCGCCTCAGGCACCTGGGGACAGAGCAGGCTCGAGTGGGAACGTGGGGGGCGGCGGGGGCTTGGCGGGGAGGCAGCTGGCTGCACTGGTGGTGGGGCGGCAGCCAGGGGCAGTTGTCCTGTGATTCCGCCACACCCTCAGGGCCCCCGGCCTTGCTGCCCACCGTGTGAAATGTTAACTTGCAGGATGGGAACCTCCTCCCGCGTGGGGGCCTGTCCCACAGCAGGTGTAGGACACACCCTCCGGTGGGTGGGGACAGCCTTGCACCTGGTGTTAACAGACGTTTCGCGTTCGCCGTCCCGCTAAACACAGGCTGGGGCTGCTAGCAGGCCCGCGAGGTCACCGGCACACGCTCGTAACAAAAGGGAGGGAACAGAACCTCCCCGCCCGAACCTCGGTAGCTGTAGCTGGCCTCCCAGTGTGAGAATTTGCGTGACCTAATTTTCGTGCCAAAAAAAGGTCTGATTTTTAAAGACACGTTTGAATCTCCAAAATGAACCCAGCCCCTCCAGCTGCCAAAAGCACAGGTGTACCTCACTGGATATGTTGTCTTTACCCTGAAGATGCCGCAGGGCTGGATAAGCACCCCCATGCCGTGCGTGAGGGGAGCCGTGGTGTGTCCGGCGAGACGGAGAAGAGAGGCGTGAGCCATGGTCCTGCGCCTGGGACCTGCTCAGTTGGCGCAAGGGCCACACGAGCCTTTGGGGGGACAGCAGCTCTCGGTCCCCCGTGCTTGGTGGTGGTCATCAGCGGCCGCCTGCGCTCGACCAGCCCGGCCAGCTGTCGAGAGCCTTGGTGCCGGGGGCTCCCGCTGTGCCCCAGATGCAGCCTTTGGGGGGGGGAGGGGAGCTGGGGCTGCATTCTCACCACCCCACAGACGGTTTAGTTGGTGAAAAGCAGAGTGTTTTACACCCAAGAAGCACTGATCCAGATGCCCATCAGCCGCCTGCCCGCCCTGCCAGCGAAGGGGGGCTCCTGCGGTGTCTCCTCACAGGAGCTGCGCTCCTGCAGTGTCTCCTCACAGGAGCTGCGGGCAGGCGAAGACCCTTCCTCGCCAGCTGCTGAGTTTGTGAAGCTCTGAGGAGTAACAGCCGCCAGTCAGCGTGACGACCTGTGCTATCCTCAGCCCCCGGTGGGAGAAGTGGATTAAAGGAAGTGCCAGCAGAGCCGCCGTCCAGGTCACATGGATGCTTCACGGGGCGGGGCTTCCATTCTGAAGCTGGCTCTCCTGCGAGCGGCAGGGTCTCTGGGGGCTGTAGAAATGCAGAGATATGGGCACCACCCCAGGCCCACTGAGCCAGAATCTGCGTCTTGAAAGGCTCCCGGGTGGCAGCGCCCACTGAAGTGCAGCTGGATCTGACCAGAACGGGCGGCGGGGCTCAGAGACACGTGCTGTCCCTACGTCTGAGCCCTGTCCTCCAACCCCTGAGTCCCAGGAAGGGAGGACACACATCGCTCCCCAGGGCGCGGTCACGGCCCGCTGCTCCTGTGCGGACGTGTGGGGACCACAGTCCTCCCCCCGGGTCAGGGCGGAGCGGTGGACGTGCGTGCCTGTTCCCCGTTGTTTTCCTTGAAAACCGCCGGGCGCGTCCCACCGATTGCTCTTATCCCTGACGTCTTCCCCTGTGCCTGGCTTCCCAGTCTTCCTCCTGTTTTAAAGGTTCCGTTCAGTCTAGAGCCCTCTGGACGGAACCAGTGGTCTGGTGACCTGCCTGCCCAGGTCTGGGCGTGCGCACACACTGCCGGTCCGTGCCTGGGTTTCCTGATTCTGAAATTGCGGTTTCTGATACTGACGCAGCAGGGTCCCAGGGGACTGAGTGAGGGACTCCAGGGCTGCTGCTTTGGGGACGAATGGGATCATCTGAGCCCGGGGGCGTCGTCGGTGCCCTTATTTCTGTACAGAAATCTGCCACATGCAAGCAGGTCTAGACCGGGTTCTGGTGCCCGTAAGCAAAGGCATCATGCCTGGCGCTTCCTGCTTCTGCTCTTCCGTTGGCGCTGCAGGTGGGCGCACACCACGGGGTGGAGGAGGCCGGCCCTCGGGGGTCAGAGGGCTCCCGAAGGCTGCGAGGGAGGGGGTTGGGCACCGGCTTGCTCTCCGAGCAGCACTGCTGATGGGGCAAACGAATAAAGCCTTAAAGCAGAGCGAGGCAGCTGAGCCTGATTGGAGGCAGCGTCTCAGGGCTAAGCGTGGACTTAGATCACGCGGTTTGGGGCCTGGAGTGAGTTTTACAAACCCCCGTGAAGGACAGGAGTTTGTAGTGGAAATGCTCACAGCCTGTGCCTGAGCCGTCTGAAGGCGGCTGCGCACCCAGCGCCTGTGATCGGCTTGGCCTCTGGACACAGCATCCCTCCCTCTCGCTGCGCAAATCCAGCGCTGCTGCTTTTGTTTGGTTTTAACTCATCGAGATGCTGCCAGCCGCAAACCCCGGTCGGTATACAAGGGAGGACCTGCAGGGCCGAGGGACCCTTCCTGGCCTGGCCCATGGCTCCAGGCTGATGGGAGGACGTGGCACGGCGCCTGCACCAGGCGCCCTGCAGATCCACAGCCAGCACCATGTGGCCTTCACCTGCCTGCAGGGACCTCGTGCCCTTGAAGGCTCCCTTGGCGCACACACTTCCTCTCCTGCTCCCGTCAGGATCCAGTGTGTCCTTCCAGCACCCCCCCCGCCCTGCAAAGGCTTCAAACCCTTCTTCACACTGGCACCTGGGACGATGACCCAGCGCCAGCACTGAGCTCGCGCCCTGGTCCCTGCTCATGCTTTCCTTGGACCCCACCGTCCCCACCTGGTCTACGGGTGTGTCTTGTTCCAGGAGGGCCCTTGTTCTGCCCCCTCCCCGAACCTTGCAGGCAGGGCTCTGCCGGCAGCCTGAGGCCTCTCCACCGGAAGTCTGGTCAGCCTAGGGTGGCCACGTGCCGGGGAAGCTGCGTCCTGCTGGTACACGAGGTGGGGAGCACATGGGGGCTGCTCCCACCCTAGGCACCCCCTCTGGGTGTTTCCCAGGCAGCCCCACTCGGCCAAAGTGGGGAGAAGGGAGCAGCCCCTGGAAACACACCTTTTCAGTAGAATGTCCAGGTGCCACCCTGGCCTTCGCTGTGTTTTCTCCGCACCGTTCGTACTGGATGTGCTGTTGGAAGGGTCTGGCAGCTTGAACACTCTGGTGGCTTTGAGGCGCGAGCAAAAGGCTGGACGTGGGGTGCGGCTACTGTCCACTGACGTCTGCCTCTCCCCTCTTTCCTTAGCTCAACGATGCCGCCAAGCAGCTGATGGAGATGGACAGGCTGGGCCCGGCCTCAGCGTCCGGCTGCCTCACCTTCATGCCCTCTGACCCCGGTGCGGGGGCCAGCGCGGCCCCAGGTCCCACTTCAGGCAGCACGGGGGCGGTCAGCGCCTTCCAGCGGCGTGTGGACAGTAAGAAGAATGCCAAGAAGCGACACTCCTTCACGGCGCTCAGCGTGACGCACAGGTCCACACAGGCCGCCAGCCACAGGCGCTCCATGGAGATCAGCGCCCCCGTGCTGATCAGCTCCAGCGACCCACGGGCCGCGGCCAGGATCGGGGACCTGGCGCACCTGTCCCGCAGTGCACCCACCCAGGTAATGTCGCTGGGGCCGGGGCTTCCTCTTCGGCTCCACTTGCTCCCCGTCCCTGGTCCCTGGGTGGGTGTGAGGGAGGCCAGGCAACAGTGTCTTTTGGGGTCCCCGCCCTAGGGCCCCCGAAGCCCTGGTGGGAGGTGTGTCTTGGTCTCAACCAGCATTCAGACAGCCGAGGGGGATGTGAGGTGCTTCTCAAGTGCCTGTGGCGCGGCCTCTCGAGGTCCCGTCCCCGCCCGCCTCAGCCCCTTGACTCGGGAGGAAGTCTGGGTTAGTGCTGCTGTGTCTGCAGCATCTCGTGACACTGGCTGACGTGCTCCCTGTGGACAGAACCAGAAGAGCCCTCCTCTGTGGGACGGGCACTGGTTCCGTCCACCAGGGAAGCAAAGGGGTCACCTTGCTCTCAGCAGCCAGACCAGGCAGCCCTGGAGCCAGGCTGTTGCCACGTCCACGCTGGCCCTGCTTGCCACACGACAGGCCGGTCAGTCAAGAGGTGAAGTGTGGGAGCCACGAATGAGATGACCGGGCCCGGGGACCCATTTTCCCGCAGTGACACTTGAAGTGAAAGTTGTGACCAGGCTCAGGACTTTAGTGAGCGTCGTCAGAAAGGGTGAGAGGTCAAGGGAAGCAGTTTGCAACCTGGCTGTGGCCCCGTTTAATTCAGCTGTCGGGAGGCAGGAAGGGTGGTGCTGAGCGCCTGTGAGTTGAGGGCCAGCCACCAGGGCTGCGAGCGGTAGGCGCCAGCGTGGGTCGGTGGTCATGGGTAGGACCCAGAGGCCAGCCCCGCCCCCTCTGCTCCCACCTCCGGCGCCACCTTCTGGGTCTGCATCCTCAGACTCCAGCTGCCTGCCTCTGGCAGCCCCTCGCGCCCTGCGGTAACGCTGCCCTTCACCTGGTTGCTCCTGGAGGTGCCCGTTGCCTCCCAGGAGCTCTGAGCACCTTAGCGTGGCCTGAGGAGCCCTACAGACTTCGGCCACCACCCTGCCGTCTTTCCAGCATCTCCACCAGTCTCCCCTGTGCCGTCCGCAGAGATCCTGCACCTGTGCGCCCGTGCTGGCCTGGCTACCCCTCCCCCCGCGGCTGTTCCTGCCCCCTCCCCTCCCCCTCCCCCTTGCGGCACAGACACGCGCCCACGCACACGAAAGGCCTGCGGCCCTCTCGCACCCGCCGACCTAATCCTCGGCCTGCAGGGCTTTCCCCTGCATCCATCGTGGACTGTGTTGCTTTTGTCGCTAGTATTCATGGCCTTCTCCCCAACCCCTGGACTCGGAGGTCCTGGGCAGGGACGGGGTGTCGCCCACCCTGTGTGCCGTGTCCTGTCTCCTGACCCCCACCCGGCCGTCTCTCCTCGGGTGGCCATGGGACCCGAGTCAGCCATGCTGCATTCTGAATGGTCTGAGCATGAAACACCGTGGCTCCAGGGATGCCACTTGACGCCCCCCCGTGATGGCTCCCACGGGCTCAGGGCCCACACCGCCGGCTGCCGAGAGGGTGCAGCTGTGAGGCGGCCAGCTCGCTCCCGCACGCCGCATGTCCACCACAGGCAGCGGGGCTCCCAGGGGAGCGAGGTCGGGCTGGGCCTCCGATGCCCGCCGTGCTCACACTCGACCCTGATGAATCATTCCTCCCTGCCGTGCGGAAAAGTCCAGGCTCGGCCGAGGTCCTCATGAGCAGCGGAGCACCGCGGTCACCTTGCTGCTGGGGAGGGAGGGTTAGCAGGAGGGACGGGGAAAGAGGCTGTCTAGGCCAGCTCCACCACTCAGGGTCCAGATGTCTGCTTGCTGAGGTCGGGGGTCAAAGGAGGTGATTGCCCACAGCTCAGAGCGACCTGTCATCAGGTGACGCAGGTCGCCCCCCCCACCCCCGCTGCCTGGGAAGCCCCAGGGGGTGCAAGGAGCTCCTGGGCCGGGCAGCGTGGCCAGTTATTCCCCGGAACGGGCAGCCCCAATCCTCCAGGCCTGCTTCCCGCGCACACCGCGCGTCCGCCACAGGCGGGGGGTGCTGCGCCCTCACCCCGACAGCTGCAGCTGCGTGGGCCAAGCCCGCCTAACACCTGTTCGGTAGATAGAAGCCTTGCTGGGGCAGAGCCACACATGCTGACTTGCATGTCGTCTGCCCAGCTGTTCTCAGGCCACAACAGCGGGGCTGGTGGTTGTGAAGAGACCACGTGACTCAGGGACGCTAAAATTCTGACCACCCGGCCTTGTGCAGGGACGATGGCCCAGTCCCGGGCGGCAGTGTACCCACCGCCGTGGCAGGGGTGGCATGTGGCCGCCAGTGCACTGGCCCCTACAGGCTCCCGCGTGGGGATGTTCAGTGGGCAAAGCAAGTCCTCCAGCCTGGCTCTGCTCAGTGGGGATGGGAGTGGAGTGGGGTCCAGGGCACCCAGGGGAGCCCAGGTGTTTGGGAACAGCCCACGGCACCATTTCCCTGGAGGCTCCGTGTTGTCTGTAAGCTTTAACTGCTCGACGCAGAGGCCGGCAACCTCGGAGAGCAGAGGTGACCCACGGAAGCAGAAACCGGCGTCTCTGTGCCCGCCGTCCATGGACGGCCATGGGTGGGACCTGCACCCAGCAGGCTCTCACCAGACTTGGTGCTTCTCAGCTTCAGAGAGACCACGGCTTACAGGCCAGCTTCAAATAAGCCAACAGAAGCCCTTGAGATCAGAAAGATGTGCTTTAAAATCAGTGAGGAGGGGAGTGTTTGAAATTCAGCAGCGAGAACATCAAAAGGGAGCATTTCTCTAGCGTCTGAGGAGTGAATTGGAAGAGCCTTCTGGAAGCTTCCGGGCTTCTTTCAACGCATCCGCCTGTGTGTGGGGTGGCCTGCAGCCCCTCTCGCCACCTCTTCTTGTGTCGGCCCGGGACAGGCTCTAAGTGGGGAGTGCGGGCACCGACGCGCCGGGCTCCCCGCTGTCAGCCCACCTCCAGGGAAGCCAGGGAGCCAGGGCTTGTGTTGAGCATTTTCAGAAAGTTACAAAGGTAATTCTGTGCCTTGTCCGGAGCAAAATAAAAAAGTACCAAGCAAGCACGAGACAACTAAACCGTCTCATCCTTGAGGACGTTGCACAAGAAGAGCTTTCCTTGCAGACGTGGGCAGTGCTGTCCCGACTCGCTGGCTGCAGGAATGAGAACACTGGCCGCCCGGCCCGGGCTTCTCGTCCACCACATCAGCTGCCGACCTTGTCTGTTCTGCTGCGACGTTAAGGGCAGGGACTGCTGGGCGCCGGCCATCGCCAGCGGCTGAGGGACGGGCCCCTGGGCCTGGTGAGCTGCCGGTCCCTCCGTCCTCCCTCTCATTTGGCGAGCTCTTGGCTAAAGGAGCAGCCCGGGCAGATGCAGGAGGACCCTTGTTGGACCCCAGCCCCTGGGACCAACCGGCCCACCAGGCGACAAGGACACCGCTCGGGGCAGGGAGTGCGTGGAACGGCACAGCCGCTGGGAGGTGGGCCTGCTCTGGAAGGAGGCGAGGCCTCCTGTGGGACTCCATGTCTCCTCAGGCCCTGCTGCAGAGGTTCATGGCTCAGGACCCTCCCCACCTCCCTGCTCCTCTTGCCCAGCCCTGCCCCTCCCAGGCCCACCATGTGGACCACGGTATGGGCGCGGCTGCACACCCAGGCCCTGCAGCCGTGGCCCGACCGTGGCCACCGCTAGCCTGCGGCCTGGGAGCTCGGCCGAGACGGAAGCTGTGCTCGGACCCTCAGTGCCCGCAGGGGCCCTCCACACGGGGGCTCGCGGACACGTGGATGGACGACAGACACGCTGAATGGGGCTGCGGGCTCTTGAGTCCCACCTCTCCATAGGAGACACCTTCTGTTTGAAGGTGGGAGACGGGTCATTGGGATGTGAACGTCATGCATTTTGTGCAAAGCCAGGGACGATGCTTTCGTCTGTGGACACACATGGAAGTGGGGGGTGGTCTACACTAGCTACTGGCACCTTCCTGTGAACAAAGACCACCAAGCAGGCGGACTCGTGTGTGGGGAAGCAGAGCGAGGAGACCGCCTGTGACTTTTTTTTTTTATCTGCGGTACGCAGGCCTCTCACTGCTGTGGCCTCTCCCGCTGCGGAGCACAGGCTCCGGACGCGCAGGCTCAGCGGCCATGGCTCACGGGCCCAGCCGCTCCGTGGCATGTGGGATCTTCCCGGACCGGGGCACGAACCCGCATCCCCTGCATCAGCAGGCAGACTCTCAACCACTGCGCCACCTGGGAAGCCCCCCGCCTGTGACTCTTCTTGGTGGAAAAAGGCTCCACCTGTTGGTTCAGAGTCGAACCTCGCGATGCCCGATGGGTGAGAAGTAGCCTGTAACTGCCTTCCCCCAGCCCCCAACACGTTAGCGCTTTGCGATTTTCACCCCTGCACTGAGCAGGTCAGCTCCCCTTCGTGATGACCCGGGGAGGCCTGTCCTGCTTTTGGCACAGCTGTGGCCGTTTGGTCCCCGCTGCTGGCCCCGTGGGACGAGGGCAGAGGCCGGAGGCTTGTCCTCTCACTGCAGACGACACCTCAGGTGGGTCGGCCGACTTCTTAGCGTGCTGGACTGCTGCCTTGTGGGCAAGAGCAGCTGGGTGCCAAGAAAACCTTATTTACAGAAGCAGGGACAGCACGGCCAGATGTGACCTCGGAGGAGTCTGTCGACTGCTGAGCAGACCTGGACTCAGAAGCTCAGGGCTGAGTCAGTAGTTTGTGGGCCGGTCGGGCCACCTGAGGTGAGCTTGGCCTCCTGGTGGCCTCTGCCTCAGGTGGCCAGCCAGCTTCCTGGGGCTGATGGACAGAACCGGGGACGTTCTGTCGGCACAGAGCGACCGGCTCCCTCTCCAGGACAGACCGTCTCCTCCAGGTTCCTTGGCCTCCGACCTCGAGCTGCCAGCCCAGGCCCCGCCCACCGTCCTCCCTGCCCGAACCCCTGGCCCTGCAGGCTGTTGGGTGTTCTTTTTGGAACCAAGCAAAGAATCAGGCTGTAAGCGTTTTACTCTGAAGTTTTCTTTGGGAAGCACGTCCCTA